GACGGCGACCGTAGGAGGACCCGCCGGTGGGGCCGGGAGGAGTCCGCCGGGTGGCACCGCCCCCTGGCGTCACCTTCTGGGTAAACGAGGGAGAGACGGTGCCCTTTCCATCCGAAAAGGAAAGCAAGAGCTCCATCGCCCGGAGAGATCCAGGCGGGACGAGCCGGGGAGGGTCACGGCAGGCGGTGGCCGAGGGCACGGGTGGGGTGCGGTGGGAGGCCCGGACAGCCAGGAGTAGAAACGAGGTGGGGCAGACTTAGGGGGAAAGAACATGTGTGCTTTGTAGACTGTGGAATACTACTGTGCCAGAAAGAAGGATACCCTTGAGTTCCTTGTAGGAAAACGTATGCGCGGTGAGACCACGAAATTAAGTGCGGTAACTGAGACACGCAAGCTTAAACATGATTTCTCTTCTATGCGAAAGGCAAAGTATAAATAAAGCGCAAAATAAAAAGATAATAGGAAACCGAGTTAGATCTTCCTCAAATGGGAAGGAGGATCAAGAGATGGAGGGAGGGAAAGGGGAAATAAAAGGAACAAGGGTGTGTTTTGTACACGTGCCCACTCCCCGTGACGGGTGTAATCACTGCGTGCTGTAAACATGAACTAATAAAAATTATAAATGTTTAAAACTTGGGAAGAAAGGACCTCTGTCCTCTGACCTCTGTCCTGAGGGGGCAGCACGGCTGGGGTGGAGACGAACCCCAGAGGGCAGACCCGGGATGGAGCCGCAGTAGCGGACAGACCTGCGGGGATGGGGCTGGGGCAGAGGCGCTGGGGTCCGCGCGCCGAGCGGGATGAGATTCCACACTTTTCGGTTGGCCGGGTCGGCTGGGGATGCGCTCCGGACTGTCCCCAAGATGAAGGGGACCAGGGGCGGGGCCGGGTAGAGCCAGACTCAGAGGACGCAGCGCCTCTGCGCACTTTCTCCTCAGCGCCTTCCTAAAGGAGAGGTCGGAGCAAAGGGCTCCTGGGCCCGAACTCGCGGAGGTAAAGTGGGTGGCAGCCGAGGGGCCGCCCAGCCTCTGCGGCCGCAGCCGGGGGTTGGAGGCCCTGACGATCCCACGGGGACACAGTCGGCGAAAGCCCGGCCGTCCGTCCAGCCCTCGCGATGGGGCCGGTTCTGGTTCTTGCTTACTTCATTTGCTTTGCACAGCACATTTTCACTAGGCGCTCTGTGTCGGGTCCTGGGTCTCAGACAAAGACAGCAGAGGCAGCTTCCCTGCCCGCAAAGACCACCATGCAAACGAGCACCGAAAGTGAAACAGAGTAAATGAGACACACACGCTTGGTTTATCTTCGCACGGTTATCTTCTGTGAGAAACCCAAACTATAAATAAAGAGCAAAATGAAAGATAGAGCATAGTAGGAGATGGGAACATAGGTCTTTCTCAAATGGAAGGGGATCAAGAGCTGGAGGGAGAGGAGAAGAGGGAAAGGGGACCAAAAGGGATGAAGATGTGTTAGGGACGCGGACCAGCGCCACCCGAGGAAGGTAAACACGGACTGCAAACATGAACTGATGAAAAAAAAGACAGATAAGGACGGAAACGCAGACGAAACTTGCAAAGCACAAACTAGAAAATCAAGTTAATTTGGCGTTATTTCAAAACTAGCAACAGAGGACAAACACCTACAAGTGAACACATTTAGAAAAAATATACTTTAGCATCATACGACAGCCTATAAAACAGAGAAGATAGGTAAAGGGGGGAAATGGAAAAGAATTAAATGCACAATGTGAGTCCAAAAGACTCAAAACAGAAAAAAAAAAAAAAGCCAAACGTTACTAGCAGCTCAGGTGCAAAATCACAAACAGGTGTGTGTGCGTATACATAGTTTTTAGAAGAGTGGATATATGTACATATATATCAGAAGGAGAAACGTGAGGAATATTAAGATTTTATAAAGACATTTTGCAATTATAGGCACATCTGCAGACTTACACAAGTACTGTGTAAGTAAAGGATGGATGGGTTAAAAATCATACATAAATGGAAGGGCTTTAATCAGGAAACTTGTCATGTTCCTACTTCCATTACGTATGAGCTGCCTCATCCCATAAAATTCACCTGCAATTTCCCCAAGCCTTGGTTTTCTTGTCCTCATTGTGAGGAATAATTGTTTCTACTTGCTGGTTTGTTTGGCCTTTAAATAAAATGTAAATCACTTGGCCCCGTGCCTATCTCTAAATGAGTACAGTAATAGGTACTAGTAGTACTAAGTAGCAATAGTAGTGGTCGTTTATTTTAATCCTATTTTTTCTGCTGGTCAATTATGATATGGGTTGGATTTGAACCAGTAATGCTAGTTTCTTTCCTAACATCAGAGTACAGACCATGTACTGTAATTACAGGTTCTTGTCAAGTCTAAAGAAATGATACTTTTTTTTAGTATGTGGGTGTTTTATGTCTGTGGGTAAACTGAGTGTATTTGATCCATGGCCAAGATTCTTAATATCTGAAACGCATTTGCAAACAAGAGGATTGCAGAAGCAGGAAGGACCAGAGGTATTTCTTTCCTCCTTGGTTACTTTTGATAGTAACAGAGGGGCAAGGGCGATAAATTGTTCCTTAGTAATAATCAGCATCTTGGTCAGGCACCATGGTGCACACCTGTATTCCTAACCCTCTGGGAGGCTGAGGCAGAAAGATTGCAAGTTCAAGCCCAGCCAGCAAAGATTAATGACTTAGCCTGACCCTATCTTAAAACTGAAAAATAAATGAATTAAAAAAAAAAAAAAGATTGCCTTCAATCTCCAGTACCAGAAGAAAAGAGACAAAAGCATCTCTAACACTTCGTAGTTTACCAGAGACTTTTCACTCCACCTCAGGTTTGCATCTGCAAACTCCCTTCCCTTACTCTTCCTTCCGTTTGAGCCCTGGCTGGTTTTTTCAGTTTGCAAAAGGGAGAGTCCATGGAACAGTCCACCCGAAACTGCAAGCCTGATGCCAGCAGTGCCGTAGGGGTCAAGATAAGCTTGTGCTCAAGTTCTGACCTAACAAGAGAGGCAGCCATTGAGCAGGCCAAGAACCCAGCGGCTCCTAGCTTTCCAGCAAACAAAAACCAGCTCTGGCATCTCCACACCACGCAAGAGCACCGCTCACAGCCCCTCCTCCCAGTGTCTGTTCAAAGTGGCGGCTGGAGCAGGTGGAGAAGAAGTGAAAGGCTCTGGATCCAAAGGAACCTGTCAAGACCCTTCTGGGGGAGGGGAGAGGCACATGGCTTCCTGTCCCACGTGGAGAGAACCTGGAAGTCCGTTTCACTGGGCTGTAGAAAGGGTTGCTGTGAAAACCAAACACAAACAGTGTCTGATAGTATCTGGTAGACAGTGCTATTGGTAATTTTTATTTAAGGTCATTCTTGAACTTCGGGATTGGACATTATAAAACCTCAATCTTAGCTGGGAGTGGCAGTGCAGCCTGTAATCCCAGCACTCTGGAAGGCTGAGGCAGGAGGGTTACAAGTTGGAGCCCAGCCTGGACAATTTTTAGAGACCGAGTGAGACCATGTCTCAAAGTATAAAATACGAAAAAGGGCTGGGGGTGTAGCTCATTGTGAAGACTCTTGAGTTCAGTCCTCCATACGGAAAAACAAAAACAAGCTCCAGTTATTATCAATCCTCTTTCCCCACTACCCTAGCCTGGAGTGTTAAAATTCTGCTCCTTGACTTGGCCATCAAAGGGAAGACAGAATAATGCTAAGGGAAAGAAATCAGACACACAAGTTAAATATCCTGTGGTTTATCTTCTCTGAGAAACCCCAATTATAAATAAAGAGCAAGGTAACAGGAAGTCAGGAGATAGATCTTTCTCTAATGGGGAGGGGATGGAGAGATGGCGGTGGGAAGAAGGCAGGGCGAGGAGATGAAGAAGGAATGAAGATGTCTGTTCAAGCTACAACTCCACACAAGGACTATAAACATTATGTGCTGGAAACATGGACTAATTAGGATTTTTTTTTGTTTTCCTCTCCAGTAACAAAACTTCTAGAGTTTTGGCTCAGGGTGTCTCAGGAAAGTGAGTTTTCAGTTACGCCCCTATTCTTTCTTCAATGCTGGTGGTTATTCACAAGGTAGAGGGGACCAGAAAGAAGACAGATCTGGGCAGTATCTAGTTGGAAGGAAAAATGAGCGACCATGGCTGCTCCATGCACGTTTTGCTGCATTATCTGTGTTTGGAAATCGCAACGCATCACACAAAAGGCATAAAGAGCTGTACTTGGTGAAAACAGAGTCTGAAGGGCACCGAGTTTCAACTGCTGACCTGAGAGAAAGTGCTGGTGAAGTCAGAGAAAGGGGTCAAACCTGCCTGTTGCCCAAAGCCAAAGTCTTTCCACGGTGCCGTTCCGCTGCCATTCATCAAAAGACCCAACTTAGTAATTGCATAAATGTCTGAAGAAAGCAAGAATCCGTTAAATCATCCATTTGGAGGAATGGTGTATGTCACATCCATGGCCCCTGGATGTCTACTGTGCTCCAAACTGAACCTCTGATCCTCCCAACTGTCCCCTTCCTCACATTTTCTCTCTCCATTGAAGGCAACTTAATCCTGTCTGCCTCGGCTCTTTATTTCATACTCCTCACCCAATCTATCACCCAACCCTACAGGCTCTGCTTTGAGGATCTCTCTAGAATCAGACCACTTCTCTCCAGCTCTTCTATCCCAAAGGGACCCCATTATCTCTTGTCTTCCAGTAGCCTCCTACCGGATCTCCCTGTGCAATTGTTATGGTGTAGATCCGGAATGTCCCCCAAAAGCCTCATGTGTATGAAAGGTAACTGGATCGTCAGATTGCTGTACTCATAGTGGTCTAATGTAGGAGTGAATTTAGCAACTACTAAAATGTACTTCTAGGAGGTGGGGCCTGACTGGAGGCAGGTCACCAGGGGTGTGACCCGGAAGAGTTTATCTTCCTCCTTGCTCTTCCTTCGCTCTCTGCTTCCTGGCCTCCATGATGTGAGCAGCTTTCCTTTGTGGCAGGCCCTTCTGCTGCGCCATTTCTGCATCTGAGCCAGGCCAACTGTGGACTGAAACCTATGAAACTGTGAGCCAAAATAAACCTCTCCTCCTTTAGGTTGTGGGTGTCAGGTATTTTTGTCCCAGCAGCAAAGAAAGTGACTAAGACAGCCACCCTCACACCCTTTTATCGTCTCTCCTCAGCTTAACAGTGATTCACTGAATGGTTCTCCATTTCACTGAGTAAACGGCAAATGGCCTACCAAGCCTGAGTAGACTAAAACTTGTTCTTTTGTCTGTTCTCATTTGTCAAAGTCCCCTCTGTTCATTGTGCTCACCTTCCGCTTGTGTCCTTACTGTTTCCCAGACACTCCCAGCATCTTCCCTCCTTAGAATGTATTTTTCTACACGCCTCGCCTTATGTGGCACTTACGATGCTTCAAATGATGCCCAAAGGCTGGACATGCTAACTCATCTACACTCTTCCTGCCACCCCCTTTTTAAAGCCAAGGGAATTGAAGTGTGATTTCTACAGGACATTAGGAGATTCCATGCTCTTAGTCACTGAGGCTGTGCCAACTCTGAAGATGATGTCTTCTTTTCATCTCTTTTGTTCTTCACCAACCCTTCATTATTCAATTGGAAGACAGATGCAAGTGGAAATACAATGATGTTCAGAGACTGATGATTCCATTCACGCATTCTATGGTGTTCTAGGAAGATGGAATCAGAGCCAACTGTTATCAGCAGTTGGCTTACTGAAGAATACATTTAAACAGCCAACCTAAAATACGATGCCTTGTTCCTTTGTTCCTGTCATGGGAGCACCTTTTTATCTAAACTCCTGAGTCTTTTTTCCCTCAAATGCATATTTCTTTATAATTCTTCACATAGAAGCCAGGCATGGTGGCACAGACCTGTAATCCCTGCGTTTGGGAGGCTGCAGCAGGAGGATCGCTGTGAGTTCAAGACCAGCCGGGACTCCATAGTGAGTTCCAGGTCAGTCTCAAGTACATAGTGAGACCGTCTCAAAACAACAACAACAACAAAAAAAATTCTTTACAGAAGTCACAGAAGCTCTTTGAGAAATCTGAGTGATAAATCAGATAAGAACTGGGGGGGGTGATGTAGGATCTCCAAATAATATAGAGAAAAATAATATAACTCCAATCTTTTAGATGTCTGATACGCCATATTCAGGTACCCAAGACTGAAAAGTGAATTCTGAGGAACAGTGAAGGTGAAGAGTAGAAAATGTTTATTGAGGGGGAAAGATATCATTCCTGAGAGCGACAGGCAGGACCTGAGTGAGTTTCCAGTTAGCCCACTTTATAGAGGAAGCTTTGTGGAGCAAAATCATGAGATGACTATAACCTAGGACAACATGGTGACCAGCCAATAGGGTTACAAGCATAGCCCCATAGGTAACATCAATTCCATGGGGAAGCAAGTAACACAGCATGGAAAGAGCAAGGGCCTTTTTGGAAAAGATGAGTCAGGAGGTCCTGGTCACCCACCCAATGACTGATGTCTATCTAGACTTATTGGATCAGGTAATACTAATCCTAGCATATTGCTTCTCCCTCAAAGAGGTATATAGGAATTCCATCTTTACCTTAAGGCCTGGCCTTCACTGCCAGTCACAGTTGTAATGTGATCTTATCTTCTGCACTGACTTCTCTGAGGGCCTAGCCTTGTTTGACTGCCTATAATATTTCTACCTAACTTGGCTGTCTATAATACTTGCCTCAGGGAAAAAAATTAATGGAGAAGCAAAAATTCAGTAATCATAATAAGCAATGTTTTAATTTAGTATTCCAGAAAATGAAAATTAATGCGACAAATAAATCTAAGATGAACAAAATGTCAGAATTTTAAATAATGACAAGCTCTAACTTGTTGTGGTGGTGCAGGTCTGTAATCTACTTGGAAGCCTGAGGCAGAAGTTTAAGGCCAACTTGGGCTATGCATGGAGTGAGACCCGAAGGAAGGAAGGAAAAGAAAGAAAGAAAGAGAAAGCAAGCAGAAGGGAGGAGGAAGGAGGAAGGGAGAGGGTTAGGGATAAGGAGGGAGGGTAAAAAGAAAAAGAAAAAAAGGGGCAGGGATGTCACTAGTTGAGTATGTGTGGTTTGAGGCCCTGGGCTAAATTCTCAGTACTGGGGAGACAGAGACAGACAGAGATCTGTGGGCCAGAATCAGGGTGAGGTAAGGGAGGCCCTGACTCTGAGGATCACACAAGTGCAGTCAAATCCTCTCTGTAATCAAAATTTTGATACTTTATTTGACAAAAGTCAATATCATTTTGTTGTGGGATTTTAGGAGACAAGAGAGACCACCAGGTGATGCAGGAGAATGTTTATTTTAGGTAGACAGCAGCCCAATAGACTCACATCCTAAGGTTGAGCCCAGAACAAAGGAAAGGTTCCAGGTTTATACCTGTGGCTAAGGGAATGGTCATTCTAGTGGCATGAAACTAGGGGTGAGGGGTGAGTGTTCAAGTGAGGTTACAGAAGTGAGACAAAAGCAAACACAACAATTCATCATGCAGTGACAACCTCGTAACTTAGCCTTGAAAGAAGACAGAACCTTGTGAATCTTGTGAGAACAAGATGTCATAAACTTTGTTTGCAGGACATAGTTGCCAATTTTGTCTGTACCAGAACAAGGAGTTACAGCTACAGGGAAGGGCAGGTGATTGGGAAGGGACTGCTCAAGGGCAGGAAGAACTTCTTTTCCTTTAAGTCTTGCTTTAATTTGACATTTTGTTTTATGAGCCAGTCTTCTGTCACTGTAAGAAAATATCTGAAATAGTCAAGTAAAAGAAAAAGTTCTATTTTGGCTCATGGTTTTGGAGGTTGCAGGGCAGGATCAGCTGGCTCCATTGCTTCTAGCCCATGGTGGAACAACTCATTATGGTGGGAGTCAGGCAAAACTGCTCACCTCTTAGCCAGAAAGAAAAAAGCAAGGAAGTGGAAGAGAACAGGTTCTATAGTCTCCTTCTAGGGAAGCCCCAATAACCTAAAAGCCTCCCACCAGGCCCCACCCTCTAAGGGTTCCCCACTTCTCAGTAGCACTCCCTTGAAGACCAAGCCTTTAACACAGGGACCAATGGGAGAGATTTGATGTCCAAATTGCAGCAGTTATCACACTGAATTAACTTGAAATTTAAAAATTAGTACATTTGCATGTTATTTATCTTGGTAAATAAGTTGTTCTGTTTCAGTAATTCCTCAAGTTTTACAGCTAAAATGAGTATCTCATTCATCTAATCCTAACTCCACAGCTGACCAGAATGAAAGGAGAGATTGTGACAAATCAGAAGTAGCTATTAATGTTTGATGAACACCTTTTTAAACAACTCTTCATTTTTTTAATCCATTTTTTATCCACACTTCTCCTACCCTCAAAACAGTTGCTTTTTAAACTTATAATATATGGTAGACAGACAAATAGTGACAACAGCATCATTTTAAGGGGCCACATGGCAATCTATCTAATGGGTATACCATAGTTATTTAATCAACTCCCTGTTTATTAAGTGACACTGAAAAACATTGTCCTTCATGTCTCTTTTTTTAAATAAGTTCCTAGAATTAGAATTGCTGGGTCAATGAGTTCGTGTTTACACTGCTTTGGAAAGCCAGAAAGGCTTTGAATTTAACTTCTTTAGGCAATGTTTACAGAATTCCTTAAAATGTGTTTCCTTTTCTTTGGTCAGGGCCAGGAGACAAGATGTCATCACAGTTTTTGCAGGCTCCAGTGAATTTTGAAGGTAAGAAGAAATCAGTGCTCGAGTTCTTGCTTTGTGCCCAGTACTGAGGGGATTCAGACAGCAAAGGAGCAAAATGCTCCACCATAAATATGAGGCACAAAGACTTTATAAACTACCTGCAGAGAAGATTCTGCTCTTCTATTTAGTTTGTTGTTGTTGTTGTTGTTGTTGTTGTTGTTGTTGTTGTTGTTGTTACCAGGGATCGAACTCGGGTCCTTGTGCTTGCAAAGCAGGCGCCAGAACCACTGAGCTAAATCCCCGGCCCTCTTCTATTTAATTTTAATTAAGTTTCAAATCAGTAGTACATGAAGTTGTCATATTTAAACTAGATTGCTACAGTGTCTCAAGACAGTTCAATTATTTGTCACAATGAAGGACATGAATAGCTAAACTTTATCAAAATCTGCCTTCTTCCCTTCTACCACCCTTTTTTCCTTCCCCTCCTCATTCTTTATAAAGATACAACAAATTAAAATTTTGTTAATATACAAGAAATAATTTTGTTTTTACTTATGAATTTGCCAAAGCTATAACAACTGGATAACCCCAAATGACGGTGGTTGATAAACTTTTGCTTTGGAGGACAGTTTGGGGCTCTCTGTACTTAGTATTCATATGTTTATATGCAAATCACAGAAAATGTGCAACAACAGTGTGCCTTAAACACGATAGGGCTATTTATTTTATTCAGACAGAACAAAGAAAGGAAGGAAGGGACCAAAGAAGAAAGGAAAGGAAAGAAGGAGGGAAGGAAGGGACAAAAGGAGGGAAATAGGGAGGGAAGGGGAGGAGGGAAGGAGGGAGAGAGAGCAGGAGAAATGGGAGCCAGAGGAAAAGGCCCCACATGCAGCCCCCTAGGGTACTCTGCTGGCTGTGGCTTTCAAGCACACCTAGAACCAAAGTACTTTCCTCCACCTCTTCTTCTTCTCTGTGTGCAGAGCTCTTACTGCAAGCAGCTCTTACTGAAGTGCTCTGGTTCCAACCCTGATTCCCTGACTCTGAGTTAATTCTCAGCTACCTACGCAGTAGGAGGTGGAAGGACACAGCACTTCTCTGGTCAAAGCCCTCCGGTGGTTCTCCATTTTACTGAGTCAGTGTCTAACAGACTCCAGACTGTGCGTGGACACTGCAGGCTGCCTCTTGACTGTCCCCCTTGTTCACTCCATTCCAGCCACAGGGCCCTCTTTTCTCTCTCTTGAACACACACCGGTCCTACCCCAGGGCCTTTACACTGACTATTGCCACAGCCGGGACTGCTCTTCCCCAGATATCCACGTGGTAAATCCCTAAACTCCCCGAATGGGGTCCATCCCACCACTCCACTTAAAATTGCTGACCCCAGCCCCTCTGTCTTCTGCTTTATTTTTCCCACAGAACTTTGTTACCTTATATCATATTATAACATTACCTACTATATTTATTTGTTATTGTCTGTTACCAAGATACACCCACACACACAAACACACACACACCTCACGTCAATATAAGGTCCCCAAGAACAGGCATCTTTGTTTGTTTACAGTGTGTTATCAGTGCCTACAACAATGTCTGGCACACAGTACAGTCTTCATAGTTGTTTCTTGCGTAAATGGATGCAAGAATTAGAACCAGCCAAGAGTGCCAGTAAGGGGCAAGGCTAAGAAAGGAGTGAGGCTGTGTGAGTGTGACAGAACAATGTCCCTCCCAAACATGTCCACTCCGAACCCTGTCAGGCTTACCTTCCATGTCAGGATGGACTCTGCAAAGGCCGTTAAATTAAGAGCCTGGAGGTGGGAATCTGGCCTATCTGGTAGGTCCAACGGATCTGGTGGTCTGAGGGACCTGATGGTTTGCCTGAGGGAGAGGCAGGAGGGCCTGGGACAGAGAAAGAGCCATGATAATGGAAATAGAGGCTGGGTGGTACACTTGAGGGTGAAGGAAGGGGCCACAAGCCAAGGGATATGGGCAGCCCCTGGAGTCCAGAAGAGAAAATCTCTCCTGTGGCCTCCAGAGGAAGACAGCCCTGCCAACATCATGATTTTATTAGTCTTATTCCAGACTTCTGAGATCCACAAGGATAAGAGACTAAATTTTAAGCCTCTTGAGTCTGGCTGATTAGTTACAGCAGCCCAAGGAAACTGATAGACTGAGGCAGGGAAGAGAAAGTCTCCACCCAAGACGGGGAATTAGTAATGGCATGGATTTGCAATTGTATTGGTGGTGAAATGTGGGGGGCCTAGAGTAGTCAGGGTTCAGTAAATAGAATCTGACTTGGGGAACTCAGAAGATCCCTTATTGCCAAAGTGGGGTACTGGAGAGAGGCCAGGCCCAGGGTCAGCTGGTTCAAGAGCAACAGAATGAGACTGGAGAGGCAGGAGGCTGTGGCCAATGGTAGAATCTGGTGCACAGTGGGGTTCTGGGATAGTGAAGAGGTTGAAGGCACCCCCTAAGATACATCCATCCGGAGGAAAATGTGAATTTATTTAGAAAGGAGATCTTTGCAGAAGTAATTAAGGTAAAGACCTTGGCATGAAGTCACCTTGAATTTCGAGTACACCTTAAACCAAACAGCTGGAATCCTTCTACGAGAACAGAGAGGAGGTCTGAGGCTCAGAAGGGTGAGGATGGAGGCTGAGATTGGAGCTATGCGTCTGTAACCCAAGGAATCCCAGGAATGGCTGGAAGACTCCTGAAGCTGAAAGTCATGCACTAAATTCTCTCTCAGAGCCTCCAAAGAGCCTTGCATGACCAACGCCTTGATTTTGGATCTCTGGCCTCCAGAACTGTCAGGGAATGAACTTCTCTTGTTTTAAGCCACCTGCTTGAGGTAATTTGTAATGGCAGCCCGAGTTTCATGTAAGTAGAAAGCTAACATAGGGAGAAGATTAGCCGGAGGCTAGTGCTTGTAGTGAGCTTGCTTGGTGAGGTGGTTGAGTGGTGGACTCCACAGATGATCAGCCATCAGGTTCTAACCACTGGGGCCTGTGAATATGACCATATTTGGAAAAAAGGGTGAGGAGTCTTTGTAGATAAAAATCCAATTAAACATCTTAGGAGGAGATCATCCTGGACTTAGGGTTACCCAACCTCAGGGATTTTGTTAGAATAACAGAAAGTGGACGAATACAAAGACACTAGTTTTGTAGTATCTTATTGCAGCAGCCGTAGGAAACTAATGCACTTGGTGCTAAGAAGTTTAGCTCCCTGAGAGTTTCATTCGAGACATGGCCCCAGCTTGGACCCAGAGCCCTCTCTGCTGTGTGGCCGCCCTATCTACAGGCCTGCTCTGGGGCCACACCTTTTTCCAGCACACACCTCTGATTGGCTCTGACCCAGCTCCAGGAGGGTAGCCGCATGGGCTCCACTGAGCACCTCCCCCCACCCTGCTCTTAGATCCAGTATTGAGCCAGTCCTTGGACGCAATCTACAGAGGCATGGGGGGCTGTAAAGGGTGGTGACTGATCCTATTGTGTTCTTGATTGTATCAATTGGGATAAAGGATAGGGATTGATTTGATGAGTTGTTTTCTCAACTATAAAAATGAGAATGCCTAAAAGTCATTAGAGAATCAAAGGCTGGGACGCAATGATATCAGGAAGATTTTATGACCCAGAGATAGAATCAAGGGCAACCCAAGAGCAAAAATAAAATGAGAAAACACTTAAGCAAGACACAAAGACAGACTTCCAGTTCACCAATGGCAAACAGTAGGACAAAGGAGGATGAAAACTGATAGTGAACCTCCGGGACACTCAGAACTCACAGCACAGGAAGTAACAAAACTGATCAATCAAGCTCTAGAAAAATTCAAAACAGAAATAATTTCCCAGATAACCACGGAGATGGTGAGCAAAATGAAAGACAAGATTTGAGACTCCAGAACAGAAACTGACAAAAAAGATAGATGACCTTAGGAACATAATAGAAACCATGAAGGCCCAGAATAAGAAAGAAATGGAAACAATGAACATCCAACATAGGAAAGAAATGGAATCCATTAAACAGGTTCAAACAGATATCCAGGAGATTAAAAACTCTATTGAAAGTGTACACAACAGAATAAAAGATTGCAAAGATAGAATCTCAGATAAAGAAGATAGGATCGCAGACAGTGACCATGAAAAGAGAGGTCTCTCAAAAACACTAAGGGAGCATGAGAAATTCATAGCGTGAATGCCCCTGCTAGGAAAACAGAGCGGGCTCAAATAAACAACCTAATGATGAAACTTAGACGCCTAGAAAAACAAGAGCAAGAAAAACACAAAGCTCAAACAAGAGAGGAAATTATAAAGATCCGAGCAGAAATCAATGCAATGGAAACTAAGAAAATGATACAAAAAATAAATGAAACAAAAAGCTGGTTTTTTGAAAGAATAAATAAAATTGACAAACCCTTAGCTAATCTTATCAAAAAAAGGAAAGAAAAGGCTCAGATCCATGCAATCAGGAATGAAAAAGGTGAAGTCACAACAGGTCCAAAACAAATCCAGAGGATCATTAATACCTACTTTGAGAACCTATACTCCAATAAAACGGAAAACGCAGAAGAAATGGACAGATTTTTAGATACTTATGAATTGCCAAAGTTGAACAAAGAAGATAAAAACATTTTAAACACCCCAATTACATTCAGTGAAATTGAAAATGTAATTAAAAACTTACCAACAAAGAAAAGCCCAGGTCCTGATGGATTCACTGCTGAATTTTACAAGACATTTAGGGAAGATCTACTGCCAATACTCTTCAGACTTTTCAATGAAATTGAAAGGGAAGCAATACTTCCAAATTCATTCCCAGAAGCAAATATCACTTTGATTCCCAAACCTGGGAAAGATGTAACTAAAAAAGAGAACTACAGGCCAATCTCCTTAATGAATATAGATGCAAAAATCCTTAATTCCTTAGCAAACAGAATACAAAGGATCATCAAGATCATACATCCTGACCAAGTCGGATTTATTCCAGGGATGCAAGGATGGTTCAACATATGTAAATCAATAAATATAATACACTATATTAAC